CAGCATCGGCTTGTTGTTGCTGCTTTCTCCATCTATTTCTTAAGTGCTTTGTTTGCTACGCTTTCCCTTCCTTGCGCTCTGCAGAGCCCTCTACTAAACACTTCTTTTATTTTCTTTTTTTTGGGTTTACACTGTACACTGTACAGGGTGTATCCATACCAAAACAAATCCAAAGCAAACGCAAGCGAGCAAAAGCCAAAAGCAGATGCACGAGTGCGGGAGATGCGCAAAAGATATGCAAAACTAAACAAGCAAATATTTCAGCATTGCATAACTAAGCCAGAAGTTCCACTTTCTGTAGCTGCATTTCTCTGTGTGTGTGTGTGTGTGTATCTCTTTGTAGTGTGTGTGTGTTTTTGTGTGAACAATAAGCAACAAGAAATAGGGACTCTGAAACAGAGAATAAGACTCCTGAAAACCATGGCAACGTTGTGTGCAAGAGCACATAAGTGAGTGCCACCCGTGAGGAAGGACTATGGGATGCATATGAGAGCAGGGCACAAGATTTTTGCTATACCATTCAAGATCGTGAGAGTATAAAACTACTGGTGGAGGGCGACATTACTTAAAATTCGAATAGGCAGAGCAGAGCAGCAGCGCTAACATAGCAACAGCACTGTTAACATTTCACGCTAACAGCCTGTGATCGCTCTGCGTTAACAGTCTGTGGCTGCTCTGCGTTAACAGACTGTGGCTGCTCGGCGTTAACAGCCTCTGGCTCCCGCTTACAGCTCACTGTTAGCGCGCTCTGCGGGCGCTATTACGACTAGAATTACGTGTATAGAAGTGTGAGAAATTAATCCGAAGGAAACCAAATTAACAAGATCATTTTCAAAGAGCAAACTACTTGTAGAAAGCAACGAAATTACTGCAAAATATTCTGTTCTGCATAATATCAAATTACATGCGCAAGTTACGTGTAGATGTGAAATAAATATCTCAAACTTGACATTTTATGCCCAAAAAAAGAGTAGAGCAGTCCCATAGTCCACTGTGGTATACGAGTATCAGTGTACGAGAAGTAGGCGCGCGCGGTCTGCTTTAAGGCTGCAGCTGCTTTTCGCTTATGCTCAAAAGAAAAGCGCTAAAAACTGGCACGCATTTGAATGCTGCTGCCTGCTGCTTGCTGCTGCCTGCTGCTCATTAGGAGGTGGCTTTAAGGGGGTTTGGCTGTAGACTGTAGACTGTAGGTTGTAGGTTTTCCCTCATGCCTGGACAGGTGACAAAGAAATGCTAATGTCGCTCTCTTGCATCGCTCTCTATCTCACTCTCCCTCCCTCTCTCGCTCTGTGGCACAAAAACCCGTTTTTTGATGCCTGCTCTAAAAATGGCAAAAATGCACTCTACAAAAAACGAAAAAAAAATAAACAGCAAAAAAAAAAACCAAAAGGTAGAAAGAAAAGAAAAGGAAGGACAGCAAAAAATAACTAGTGCAAACTTTGAGTGTATGCGTGTGTGTGTGTGCATGTGTGTGTGTCTGCAGCTGCATATGTGTGTGTTTGTGTGTTGACATTAAAAGAAAAGAAAAAGGAAAAAGAGAAGAGAAGAGTAGAGACGGAACGGGACGAGACCAACAACAATCCTTGGTCAGAAGAAACTTGGTGCGAGGCCTTAAAGCGTTTTTTCACCAGACAAAAGTTTAAGGGAAAAAGTAGTGAAAAAGAAAACTTTTAGCAGGCACTTTAAGCTGCAGGTAAAACTGCATTTTATGACTTCATTATGAATACATTTAGCTGCAAATATTTAACCTGGTTTTGATCTGACTTTTGCTTGTGTTCCTAGCTTGTGAAAATACCACTTAAATTTTGCCTAAAGAACAAAACAAAACGGCAAATGCATTGCCAAATCAAACAATTTTCATGTGGCTTTTCCTGCCCAGTTTCCCGCGCCCTGCTCCCCCTAATCCCACTCTACAGTGTCTTTCTGTTTGTGTGTGTGTGTTTGGTTTTTTTTTTGCATTGTTTTGCTCTTGCCGGGAAAGGCTAATAAATCACAGGCAACCATTAAGCCGCCTTGCTACACATACGCTAATCTACTCCACACATACAGCAAGACATACACACATAGAAGAGAGAATGAGAGACAGAGAGAGAGAGTGAGAGAGAGAAAGAGAGAGCAACAAATTCTGTGTTCATTTTTGGAGTATGTGAAATATTTTCATAAACAACATAAAACTCAACCGAAATGGCAGTGTTATTAATCAAAGTAATGTGCGCTGCTCTCGTGCTCTCCTCTACCTAAAACTGAATTTCTATTTGTTTATTCGTATGTGTGTGTGTGTGTGGTATATCATTGCACTATGGGGAAAATTCCCATTTTTCGGGTATTTAGTCATTTTCTCAAAGTATTAAAATTGGTTTTTTTTTTTGGTAACATATTAAGAAAACTTCAAACTTTAAAGTCCAATACCAAAAATGTTATATAACATAGCACTGTTAAGTCTAACAGCTGTTAAAGTCAGCTGTTGCTGTAGAAAAGCACTTGCTTTAAGATTGCAATATTTTTGCAGCCTGTTTTCAAAATGCCACTATTCAAACGCGAAACATTCTTTTTGTAAAATTTAAAAAGGATAGCAATCACACGGGTTTTAACTATGTAATGGTTGTACTTATACTTTGTTGTTGTGCGTGTTCTATTAATATTTTGTAAAAGTAGGAAACGTTCTCAAAGCACATTTTTTGGAAATATATTTCAAGTTCGTGGAGACATATAAAAAAAGAATTAGGGTTGACAAGTGTACGTCTAATTGTATGTCGTAGAGCTAATAATTTTGATTTAAAGGCAGTTTGTCTAAATGCACACTTTTGCGCACTATCTGCGCAAATTAATTTTTTGCAGCGGACTTCGAGTTTTCAAACGCGCAGCTGTTTGAAGTATGGCGCAAGGAAAAAGGCAAATGCAATCAAGAAAATGTGATTCTGGATTTTTTTTTTGAATAGAGTTAATAAAAACAATCATGTTTTAAAAAATGTGCTATATTTAAAGAGTAAAAGTTAAATTGTGTGCCGAAACTAGAATGCCAAATGGAAAAAATGCATGCGGAACAAAAAATATTTTGAAAAAATCTTTAAAACTGGTTAATGAGCACAACAAAATTATACAAAAGCGACTCGAATAGGAACAATAATCGACAAATTGGTCATCCAAAGTTGGCTTACTTGTTAAAGGGGTAGGAGCTAAAAAAACAAGCAGCAGCTCTATCAAAAACTCAAGAGCAATGTCTCTTTGTTGATTCAAGCAGCAAGCATAAAGACCTTTCCCTTCCCATCGATTTTTAAATCCTCTTATTATGTGAAATTTAAGGCCCATATCAAACTTTTGAGGATTTCGAAGATTAATTAAGAAAAAACTAAAAAAATGTCTATTAATATTACCTATTGTTTCTTTAGCTCCTGAATTTCATCAAAATTAAGTTTTTCCAAAAGTAAAACTTTATTTTTATGTATAAAGGAGTATTATAGTCAATAAATATTAATAAAAATATTCCAATTTTTAATATTATAAAAAAAAAAATTTTTTTTTTTTAAATTTGTGGGCGGTAACACGCCTACTTTTTCCAAAAATGTTTCTAGGGGTGTACATAACATAAATCAAAAAACCGCATCGAAAAATCTTGCTTAGTTTAAAAGTTATTAATTAATACCCGAAAAATTGGAATTTTCCCCATAGTGCATTGTATACATATCTGTGTGTGTGTGTGTGTGTGTGTGACACAAATCAAGTGCAGTTTTTGGGGCAGCAATCCCAGTGGGTAGACTCCCCAACCCATCCCGTCCGTGGTTTAGTGTTTTAGTTGAATTCCTTCCTTTTTTTTCGCAGGTGGATTTAATGGCACTTGTATTTGTTTGATGGCCGCTCATCAAGCATTTTTTCTGCGGTAATAACTATTATATAATAATACTCGTAGCACACAAAAATACACCATACATTATGCCTTCTACATATGTGCCATACACTTCAGAAAATACTAGACCCAAAAGTGACATGGAAATCATTATTTATGTGGCAGTTTCTTGGAGTGTATTTATTTGCTTTTTCTCGTATTTTTCTGGTTTGCGAGTGAATGACGCGACGCAAAGCGACGCTCGGTTGAACGGTGACGGGGGACGGGGACAGACCACCCGTTGCGATTAAATTAATGTGCGCTCATATACGCACACAAAAGCTAATTTCAGCGCTTGATTAAGTTGAAGTCGTTAAAAGCGGCCAAGTGCTGCCACTGCTGCCGCTGCTGCCGCTGCCACACGCTGCGTATGAGTAATGTGTGCTGCCTGATTGTACATAGAACAGAGTGTGTGTGTGTGTGTGTGTGTGTGTGTTCAAGAGCCACTCACTCACTCACTCACTGCTTGAGAGAGAGAGAGTGCAATGGAAGGTGGTCTCCAACAAATCAGTTAACAAGCGTGTAGTCAGTCAGACTTAATTAGTAGCTAGTATTAAGTGGAGAGGGGGTACGTAGGGTACAAGGTCTTGCAAGTGCAACACGATAACTGAAGATTGTAGACAGTAGACAGACAGAAGGCAGTCAGGGATATTAAGAAAAATATCCGTTTCTTCTTTTAATAATTTATTTAATTCAATAATTAAATACTTACTGGTCAAAAAAAAACTCGATTATATTTTGTCCTAAATGTTTACAAGTGTGAGCCATATTTTCCACACAGAAAATGCATTGGTCATATGAGAACTGCAATAGAGATTACAAATTGTTAATTGTTCAGGATTGCATTGCACTTGAAAGCAATTAAATATTGCATTTAAGGCAATATTAGGGTAAACAATTATTCAATTATTATTTCAAGAGGTATTACATTTAAGCAAATGATTTTCCATTTAAATGGCCAGCTGATACAAGCAATTGAAATGTTTCTGCTTCTACTGCTAGCTCTTAATTCTATAGAAATATTGTGCAAAAATTATGCCCAACTTTAAACACCTTTAATAATCACCTTTTTCTCTCTCACTCTCTTTCTCCCTACACTCTGTTATTTCTGTTATAGGTTCGCCGCCACCCACTGTCACATGGCTGATGAATGGGCAGCTGCAGAACAGCGTTGTCGATTACACCTACGATGGTACCATCAACAGCAAACTTGTGGTCCGCAACCTGTCACGCATCCACCAGCATGCGGTCTACACCTGCCAGGCGAGCAATTTCCACAAGAAATTTGTGGCCACCAACATAACCATTGAGCTATACCGTGAGTATTCCCTTAAAGCACAAAGGCAAAGGATCCCTGGCATCGAAGCAGGTTGAATGCTATTTTTGGGTTTTAGATATTCATTAAAAATTGTATTTCGCTTATAAATTCGAATGCGAAATGTTGTTGGGGTGGGGTGGGTGGGGAGCGCCCAGCGAAATATGGTGCTAAAAACGTTTTGGGCAAACAGATTATTTCACTTTTTTTTTGTTGAAGGGTTTTTTGCGCGGTTGTGCGCTGCGAATTCTCTTTCTTGTTTTTGTTGTATTTTTTGTTGTGTGTTTTTTGTTTTCAAGCGTTGCCGATAAAAGTTTTAACAAATAGCTGTGCAGATAAAAATGAAACCCAGCCACCCACACACAAAACACTGAAAAAAAGAGAAAGGAAATAGTAGCAGAGTGGGTGAAAGAAAGCAAGAGAGAGGGCAAAAAAAATAGATAATAAAATGGCTTATGCAAATACATATAACAAAATGCAAACGGCAACAACAGAAGGAGAAACAAAGAGGGTGATAGAGAGAAGGTGATCGAGAGAGAGAGAGAGAGAAAGTATTGCATACAATACACAAAAATAATTGGTAAAATGGGAAAAGAGAACACATTTTTGTGTGCGTAACTTATTCAACCTACCTACACAGCGCGCGTGGACCCCTGACCACTGACCCCTGACACATATTGTTCGAACACATCACACACTCCCCATCTTCCCCCCACTCCTGCTCCCTAGCTCTCTCTATATGTATGTTCAGGTTAGTGGAGTATTCCATGCCGTGTCGTGCCTCGCATCGCAACCCCCCGCATGGATTTATTATTTTGTGACAATTTTTAAAATGCCTCTAGAACGACACGCGCCCCCCCCCTCTGCCTCTACTCGTTGCAATGGCCATGCAAATTGTTAAATTGAATTAAATTGTTGCCAATTCCAGGCTCCACAAGCGAGTGTGTCAGGGATGGGTGGAGCGGTGGGCATGGCCATGGGCATGGGCAAATGGTTAAGAGATTTGTGTCAGGGCAAGCTGTTTGCAGCAAGAGTTTATTTGGAATGACAAATATTCCATGGAAATATCCCATCAACTTTATTAGTTTCAAAAGTCACTGAAAGCGGGACAGTGGGGTAGTGGGGGGCGGGGGAGGGATTTTTATGGGGATTTGCATTCCATAAAATCAAATGAAACATAGCTGAAAAATCCGGGCAAAGCTGCCATTCACTTTAAGCGGAATGATTGAGGATTATTTTGAGGATATTTTTGTACCAAAAGAATGAAGTGAAAAAAAAAACATTAGATAAAGGGTTTTAGTGTTTTTCATTGACAGAAATTAATTAATAAAAGATATATTCCTCAAATGCCGTTGGAAACAGGAAAATGTACACCTCCCAGCTCCCAGGCTGTGCTTGAAACTTTTCTGTGTACACCCAAAAAATATTCCCAAAAATATCTTCACTTTGTCTCATCCCCCAACTTAAACATATAATATTTTGTTGGCTATTGGCTACTTGATTATTAGGCCCAAGGCATTGCGCTAACATCCAAAGATTGGCCATAGAATTTTATGGCACTTTGGCGGCGTCTGTCATGGCTCTCAAAATGCCAAAGCAATTGATGTCAATTCCTACTTAGGAGAGGCTCCTTCACTCCTCTGCGCTCCCAAAATAAGAGGCAAGAATAAATGTTGAAAATGTTCCAACGGCAGCAACGACAACGGCAGCAGCAGCAGCAGCAGCTGGGTGATGCGCATATTTGATATTATTGCTCACAGGCCAAAGATACGTATAGTACGTACGTACGGACATCCCGTATGGCATGTGTAGCAATTGCGAGGGGCATAAAAGTTAACACCACGTCAATAATGAAGGAAGGCGGCCCGATAGGAATAGGAATATGAGTGGGGTGGGGTAGGAAGGGGGCATGCCACACATTGACTAGGTCAATTAATGTGCCCAAAGTTCACTAAAGATAATACACCGCCATGAGCCTTATTAGCGGCATGTGCAATGGCTGACCTTGAAAAAGTGGAAAAAAGAAGGAGAAAAAGCGAAGTTAGTTTTGCGCTTTGCGTGAATGGAAATTTCCAAATGCGTACTGTGCGTGCAATAGTCACAGAAAGGGGAGAGAGAGAGCCAGAGAGAGAGAGAGAGAGAGGGACAGAGAGAGAGAGAGAGAGAGTCAGAGTCAGGGAGAAGTTTGTTGAATAATAAGTATGACCTTAATTAGTTAATTTTATGGCCACTAACAATTAGATTACGCCCGTCACGATACCCTTCAACCCCCCCATCCCCCACACTCTAGCACTCTACACACTTAACTGGTGGCTGGTAGGGGGGCTGGGACACAATTATGAGGTAGAATAGACCTCATTAGCACACACTTTAAGGAGTTAGTGGGGCGAAACTAACAAAAAATAGTTGAAAGAATTATTTTGGGGAATTATTTTTAAAGTGGAACAAATTTGCGTTTGCCTTGGGCGTCTTTTTTTACCTTGTATAAACTATTTTTAAACGTTTTTATGACATTATTAGAACATTATTTTGGGGTGGCCAAATGGTGTTGGAAATGAATTAAAAGTGTAGCATACATCTTGGGGCAGAGTTCATATTGGACGCTTGTGGCAGCTGTAGCTTTTTCTTTATACATTTTTAATGTGCCTTTACTTTTATTTTTACTTATTTTAAATTTTATTTAATTTTTAAATTTATTTAAAATTGATTGTGCACAAATCAGACATAGATCTTTATACACTTTTAATGTGCCTTTGCTTTTATTTTTACTTATTTTAAATTTTATTTAAATTTTAAAATTATTTAAAATTGATTGTGCACAAATCAGACATAGATCTTGTTGCATGGATACACCCGAGTAAGCCTTCAGCTGTAGTTACTTTCGCCGTCGATTTTTTTCTTGTTAACAATTTAACAATTTAATATCCTCTTTTGCATAATTGGACACTGGTTGTGAATGCCAGCGCCCGCCCTTCATTTGGGGGGCGTTATATATTCTATGCTCTCTTTCTCTCTCACTCTCTCTCTGTCTCTCTCACTCTCTCTCTGTCTCTCTCGTTGTAGTGCGTTTAATTAAACATTTAAACGATTTTCCAATGCAAATGTGCATAATTAATTTAATTACAATAAAACGCAACAGCAACAAAAACAAAAACAAACCTGTTCAATGCCGAAACAAAAACAACGGCAGCATAAAAAATTGAAATAATATTGTAATATATGCAAGTAAAATATATAAATGCTGCAACAGCAACACCAAAGAAACACACAAATAAAATAAAAATAAATGTTGGCAAAAAAATAAATACACAACGAATTGAAATAAATAAAATTGTAGATAGTTTCCACTGTCTCTCTCTCTCGTGTGCCTGCCCACCTCCAATCAGTTTTTATCATCGCATTTGGGCTTAACTGAAATGTCACGCCTTTAAATTAACGCACAAAATGCGCGGCCAACCGCAGTAAATGCTGCAACACCAACAGAAAAAAAAAACCAGCCATAACAATGGGACTTAACCTGGCTATATCGGTGTGAAAATATGAAAAAGGAAAAGAAATTGGAAAAGACCCTTTTGTAGCTGTTTGTACCAATATTTCATAATGCGGTGCAGGCGGTTTATGGTGAAGGTGGAATTGTGTAATTGGCAGAGACTTTATATGCTGGAAAGATGCCAAAATCAGTAACGATATCATTCATTGAATGGTTAAGCATCTAAGCAGTTTATGCTGGAACACAGACAGGGATTTGTGTTAACGTGAATGCGCAAATGGACTATGGAGCGTTGCAAGTGTTTTTGCATGCTGCACCAAGCCCTAAATGGATCAAGTGAAACGGCAACTGGAAGACTAGAAATGTAAAATCATCTCTCGGGAATCTGTTCCACACAGAACCCCCTTTTTAATGGTAGAGCATTATTTCAATGCACCCTTTGCCGAATGCCCAATAATGATTGCTCAAAGCGTTAAATAAAGCAACCAAAATTTCAAACTTCAATCTTTCAACCTTAGTTATAAACTACAAAATTAAAGAGCTGCTTAAATATCTTTCATTTATGCCACACATTATCCACTCGCCAAGCAATCTCCCAAAAAATCTGCTAAAAACAAAACATTAAACAACTGCACAAATATTTGATTTTCCACAAATAATTTTGCACCACCAACAAATGCCATTTTAATATTTATAATAATTTTTCAAATTGAAACCCAAAGTAAAATATTAAATGAATGCAGCGAAAATGTGCACTCAAAAAAAGCAAGCATGCGAAAAAGGTAGAAATAATACAAATACAAATAATAATAATAATAATGATAATAATGATAATAATGATAGCGTATGTTGGAAAATGGTGATAATGGGTGACAGTTGTGTAATGCTGATAATGAACCTGAATCAAAATCCGCTACGTGATGGCAGCGGCGGTGGTATTAATTTTCGTTGAGCAGCGTGGAGCGGGAAGAGAAAAACTAAGAGTGAAAAAAATACCTGCCTGATACACCTGATATATTTATATTTTCTGCATTTGTTTATTTGTTTTTGGGGGGCAGCCACTTTTTCAATTTGGTGGGTAAACAATTTGCTGTCACCATATGAATATTAACAAATATTCAAATTACATAAATGATAATTGCATGAATATTTATTGGCCATTGGCCATGGGCCGTGCATTGTTTTGTGATTCTCCACCCCTGCGGAAACAGCCCGAAAAAGCTTGGCCTATTGTCAGGACATATGGCAATTATGTATTGAATAGAGACTACTGCCACAGATTCGTCATTAAAGTTGGTGCTTAAATCCTTTTTTGCGGCGCTTGGATTTTTTACAATTATAATTAGGATTTTCGCACCACCAGCATCACCACGCGTCGCTTGATTAACTTTTCATTTATTTTCTTGTGGATTTTCTGTTGCTTATTTTAATTGATATTTTTCTGACATTTGCCTTGGCGTATACTTTTTTTTTAGTAATTTTCCCGACATTTATCATAGCGTTTATGTATCCCTTTTGTGGAGCTGCGACAGCGGCACCATGGCCCCACATAGTTGCCATGATTTTTGTTGCTGTTGCTATGGACTTCACTATGTGTGTTGCAGAGAGAGAGAGAGAGAGAGAATCGTAATTTGTTGCAATTAATTTTAATTGCATTGCCTGTCATTTTCATTTTCATTTCCATTTCGTATTCGATTTTTCACACACAATTTGAATAAATCAACAAAAAGCTGCTCTGCAATGAACCAAAAAAAAAATGCAAATGAAAATGAAAGACAGAGACAGAGAGACAGACAGAGAGCGAGAGACAGAGAGAGAGAAAAAACGTAACCTTAAATGGCATTTAAGCAAATAAATTAACTATGGAAATTAATGCCAACGCTCATAAACAAACTGTTTGCCTTTGCCATTACCAATTGCAGTGCGTCCCCTTTTGGTGGAAATCAGCTTCAACAATCAGCCCATGTCCGCGGACCGCAAATACGAGATTGAGTGCCAGGCCATTGGCTCTCGTCCGCCCGCCAAGATCACCTGGTGGATGGGCAATCTAGAGCTGCACGGACATAGCCAGAAGGTAAAGAATACACAGAATTCCGAGAGAGAGAGAGCATGTCTTACATTGTATATATATATATATATATATATTTTACTGCTGTCTATAGGTCTCGGAGGATGGTAATGTCAGCACTTCCGTGCTGTCGATTACTCCCACGAGGGAGGACCATGGCAAGGCCTTGTCCTGTCGCGCCACAAACGAATTGGTACGCAATGGCATACGGGAAACGGCCATGAAGCTGAATGTGTTCTGTAAGTATATTTCAAAACGTACTTCAAATTAAACCAAAATTAAACTTGAATTAAATTAAATTAAAGTTAGTTTTAGAACTTAAGAAATTGAATTTTGAATTTTTAGCAGATTTTAAAAATGTTTTATGGGAACTTAAACCTCCAGCTGGAGCTCATTGTTAAGAACTGCTTTAAAGTAGAACAGCAAATAATTACAGAAAAGAAAAGCAGCACACAAAGCGCTTAAACTGAAGTAGTTTTGGCTGCATAAATAGATTTTTATGGCTTTATTTAGCCTCACAAAAAAATATAAATATTTAAACTCTACTAGCTTGAAGTTTCATTTATTTTAAACATATTTCCACGACAGTTTTAGCCAGTAACCCATGAAATACCCTGAAATATATTAAACACAGAACCTTCTCACAGCTTAAAGTTCATGGCCCAGCCCCTCGCCCTTTATATTTGTGCGCCTCTTTCCACTAATAACACCCCCGCCCTGCCGTGACATATGCCACTGGCTTTATGAGCGGTGTCCCCTCCATAAACCATCAATGGACCTCAGTTCTGGTTCTGTTTCTGTTTCCGTTTCTGTTCGATGCCATAAACTATGTCAGCCGCTTATCACCCATGTGCTCCCCCCTGCCTACGGCTCCTTTACCCTATTTGTTGGGCTGGAATCAATATTCATTTGCATACCAATGGGGCCGCCTCCTTCATAGTGACACACAGAGCGACAGGCAGACAGACAGAGCGACAGAGCGACAGAATTTTGTGCCAAATGTATTGGAGGCCAAAAACACTCGTATGTCAATCGTTTGTTTTATGCTCGCAGGCGGATTGGCAGGCAGGACAGGGCAGGGCAGGACAGGGCACAAAAGTTGCTTAATAAAAATGCTATGCTAAAAAACGCGAAACGAGAGAGAGAGAGAGAGAGAGAAAGCAAGCTGCTATCCAAGGAAAAAGCTCACTTTCGAGCAGGAAAAACACACACACATACACACTCCACGCCACACTCCACGCCACGCCACCAACGCCACTCCACTCCACAGCCCCTTAATGTTTCAATAGTCTCGCAGAGTCGCGGCATGCCCTGGAAAGGGGATGCCTGGCGACGCGACGACAGCGTCTTGGGCAAACAGTTGCCACGTTGCTATTATCTAAAAAGCTTGCCGCATCGTTCCGTTCCCCCACTGCCATTGAAACTTTTACTCCTTTCGTTTAGGGGGTGGGATGGGGCTGCTGCCAACGCGGCGACGGCTCCTGCCTGCCTGCCACTGTAGGATGCTACTGCCTGCCCGCCTGCCTGCCTGCCACTGGATGCTGCTTGCAGAAGCTTCTTCGCAGCTCGCTCGCTGATATAAAAAATTAGATAACAATTTCAATTTCCATGCTCATTTACATGTTTATAGCGTGCTTAAAATATTTTGCCCTCCCACTTCCTGAGATTTCATATTTCCCCAACCTACTCCGTCCCGTCCCCTACCCTACCCTCCTTTTCCAACAATTTTTGTGTCTTTTTTAAGAACGTTCTTTGTTTGCCTTTTCCTTTTCGAGGGGAAAATTGAAAAGTTGATGCAATGATGATGATGGAATGGGGCGAACGGGGCAGTGGCGAATGGGGGTGGAAATTAAAAGGGGAGCAGGGGCAGATGGGGGAAGGCAGCCAATACAATAATTTTCTCATTATATCAGAAGAGGCCATAAAAACGCATTATCTGTAATATATCTTAATTCTCTTCATCTCTCTCCCGCTCCCGCTCTCTGGGTCTCATTTTCCACACAATCGAGCACAGGAAAACCTGGCTTACCTGGGCTGGAGGGGTTGGGGGGGGGTGCTGGGCTGGGCTGGGCCAAAATTAAAGTCACATAATGACAAGGCAGGAAAAAGGGCGCCAGCGGCACGACCCCGTGCAGAAAACAAAGCAAAGCAAAGCAAAGGTTTTTCCCCAAACTACATATATATTTGCAATTAATTTTGCGGTTCGTAAGCCAATTTTCCAACATTGATAAAAAGCAGCGAGCAAAGCGGAAAAACTAAACTTTGAAAACATAATGTAATTTATATGGCAGGGCAGCAGGCAGGCAGGCAGCAGGCAGACAGTCAGCTTGGGGAATCAATTTAAGGGGCTCTGCTAACGAGAACTTGTACAAGTTTTGTGCAATAGACAATGACAGGGGCAAACACACACACACACAGATACACAGCAGCAGAAGCAGCAGCAGCAGCAGTAGCAGTAGCAGTAGCAGCAGTTGCAGCTGCAACATAATGTGGCAGTGGCACTCAAAAGTCGTTACGTTAAGCTGCAGTTTGGGTTCTATTTTTTTTTTTTTGTTTTTTTCGGACTTCCTCTTGCGGCGTCTCTCACTCTGCAGAACCATAAAATGCATTAGCCAGGACGTAGTAGTTGGCCAGCTTTTGCGTCCAGTGACAGTTATTACCACTTAAGCCCATCCTAACCGCAACAGTGTGGCCTGCCAGACAGCCCAGCGTAGCCAGCCAGCCAGCACAGCCACTTTCCAATTTGGCCTCTCAGTCGCTGCTGTTCCACAAGAGAAAACTCTTTGCTCATCCCTTCGTTCCCTTTGGGGGATGGGTCTCCATCTGCAGCTCTCTGCCGCTGGCCTTGGAGAGGGCTTCTCTGTGTCTCTGTCTCTCTGTGTCTCTGTCTCTTACCTCCAGAGAATGTGCCTTGTCCTTGTCATTGTGTGTGTCCTGTGTCCGTGTCCGTGTCCTTAGTTTTTCCTGAGTTTTCACTGGGCTTAAAGTCATCGCTAATGAACTTGTTGAGCGTTGGGCAGAAGAGTTAGGAAAAGCCTGGAGAACTCTTTAAATTATGCAAACTTCTTTGACTCCTTCTTCCTGTCGCTCACTGTCCCAACACCCCACACCCCCTCACACACTCTCTCTCTCTCTTTCTCTCTCGCTCTTTCGCTGTCTCTGCGTGTGTTAAGGCAAGCACTTTTCATTTTCATTAACAAGTCGTTGCAAAAGACGAAATCGGCTTAAAGAAAACTTGCGTAGAAGATGTGCACGGGGCAACGGGGCAAGGGTAGGGAAAGGACCCAAAGATTCGACCAAAAACTACGAGCAGGAAAGGAGAAAAGTTGCCAAAAACAATGTGGAAAATAATAATAAACAAAGGCGAATAGAAGAGGAGAGTAGAAAGGAGGGAAAGAGCTGAGGAACAGAGCAGAACTGAGGCAGGAACAGAGGCAGAAGAGAGGCAGAACAGAAGCAAGAACAGAGGCAAGAAGAGAGGCAGAACAGAGGCAGAACTGAGATAGAAAAGTGGCAAAAGAAGGCAAAGCGACACTAATCACAGATAAGCTTAGATTAACCCCCTTTTTGGCCCCACCCCAGCCCAATGGGTCTCCCTCCACTGGATTGAAGGATTGTCCAAGACAGCAAATTACAACCGATAGACTCTCTCACGCTGTAGAGGAGCAGGAAGAGGAGCAGGAGCAGCAGCAGTAGCAGGAGCCGGAGCCCGAGCAGGAGCCGGAACCAGAGCCGGAGTATCCTAAGAACAAGAACAGTACAGGAGTCTCAATCTTAAGCTCTGCGAAGCTCTTGCAAAATGCATATGAATACAATGCTCATCCCCGTATTTTGTTTTCTTCTTCTCTCACTTTACACGCTCATTCTCACACTTTCTCTGTGTCTCTTTGTCTCATTGTCTCTCTCTCTCTTTCGCTCTCTCTTTGCAGTTATACCCACATTGCAGCTGGACCTGGGCTCCAATCTAAATCCCGAGGATATCGAGGAGGGTGATGATGTCTATTTTGAGTGTAAAGTGCATGCAAATCCGGCCGCTTATAAAGTTGTATGGAAGCATAATGTAAGTAAAAACAACAACAACAAACAATAGCCCCAAACAAAAACTTGTATTCCTTTGAAATATTTATGAAGTGAGAAAGCGAGAGAGCGATACACGTATTTATATATGGAGAGAGAGAGAGAGAGAGAGTAATAGATAGATGAATGGCAGGCACATCAACTTTTCGGCCCCAAAAAGTTTTCTGTGTATGGGGGGTGGTGGGCGGCTGCCTGACCTTCAAACGTACTTCAAACGATGCATCAGCCACTCAAGTCAATTGAGCGTACAGTTAGGTCGGTCCAAAAACGGAACGGAAAGGAGCGGAATTAACTTCCGGCAATTCCCCAAAGATTGGCGTGAGACACACACGGAACGACACAAGAAAAAAGAGAGAGAGTGAAGTGGATTGGAGTGTAGAAGCAGGCTCCCTGGCTCTCTCTCTCTCTCTCTCTCTCTCTCTCTCCTGGGTAAATTATTATGAAACAAAAATTAAGTGGTCATTTTTACTGAATTATTGGCCAATTATTTTAAGGCAATTGAGTCAAGTGCTGGCCCGAAAACAGCCGAAAAGACACGGCCTGGCACTACAGATGGGTTTCGATTCGCTTTGGTTCGGTTTTAGGGCAGGGGAGGGCAGGGTATGGCGCCCACCACCACCATACAAGTTTACAAGGCAAATTATTTGTTTATTAGTTGTACAAGAGGCAGCAGCCCCAAGAACTCAAACTCGAACAACGGCAACAATGGCTGGGCAGGGGGGGGCCAGGGCAAATAAATGTTATTCAATGGGGAGAGAAATGTTGAAGTGTGAAAGCATTTGATACCCTCTCTCTAGCAAGCTAAGGCCGAACGAGAGCCATATGCAAGTCGGGTGGATCGTGGGAGCGAGCGCGAGCAACGCTCAGAGCGCGCTAACAGTGAGCTGTAACTACGAGAGGCAAGAGGCTGTTAACGGTGAGCAGCTACAGACTGTTAAGGGAGAGCAGCTACAGACTGTTAAGGGAGAGCAGCTACAGACTGTTAAGGGAGAGCAGCTACATAATGTTAAAGGAGAGCAGACACAGACTGTTAACGGATAACGCTAACAGGCTGTTAGCCTAGTGTCTTAACAGCGCTCTGTTGCTCTGTTCAAAGACCTCTGTAATTCAATTAATATTTTCAGGGAGTAAAAAATAGAAGAAAAAAAATACATCTAGTAATTAATTTAAAAAAAATCTTCCATCTGCTCCAAAAATCTTATATACCCTGCTCTGCACAGGGTACTCTTAAGCAAGACCGAAAAACCGTACGACCGAACGACGAATCAAGTGTATGAATAATATGAATGCTAATTGAATTCATTCACAATGCCAGCAATAACAACACAATGAAGTACATGGGCAAACAAGCAGCTAAGCTACGCTAAGCAACAACAACAACAACGACAACAAACCAACCACGAACAACCAGATGAACAGCACACACAACAAAACAAAAAAGAAGAAGAACAGAAGAAGAACAGAAGAAGAACTTAACTTGGTCATAACTTTCATCGAAAATAACAACAAAACAAATACTCCGTCCGTCGCTTCGTGTACACTCGAAGATGGCCAAAAACTTTTGTGTGGCGTAATTTTTGCGTACAAAAGAAAAGGGGTGGGTGGCTGGTAACTTACTTAATGGATAAGAGGGGAGTGCAAGGGGGCTGGCAGGACATGAAGGTAGATAAAAACTTTATATGAAATAATAATTTGTGCGAAGAGACAAAAGGAAAACACACACACAAGGTCCTGCATAGATTTGTAGGGCGATTATCCTGTAAGTTTAAGTAAATATGGAAAGGCAATGCCATACAGTGGACACTGTTAATGGAGAATTAATTGGATTATATTGGAGTATAATGCACTATATCCAAAAAAATATTTATGTTATTTATTTATTTTTTACATTTTATTTTAATTTTATTTTAATTTTATTTATTATATATATTTATTTTTTAAATTTAATTTATTTATTTATTATTTGTATTATTTTTAAAATTCTATTTATTTATTATTTATTGTCTTATTATTCAGTATTCCCAGACTCTGTAGCAGAGTCCCAAAAACCAGCCAATGGCTGCTGCTGCACGACGCGTGACTCGCTTCCAGGGGGTTTTTTGCCCGGGCTGAATACTTGGCTTAGTTGTTATCTAACATTGAACCAAAATGCTAATTATATAAGCGAAAGACTGAGAGAGAGAGTGTGAGAGAGAGTGAGAGAGAGAGAGAGACAGGGGGAGAGCGTGAGACAATCAATGAGCTTTAGAAGTCAATGTTAAATGCAAATGAACTGCCAACAAAACAACAAAAACAATGCGGTGCGGTGCGGGGGTGGCAAAGGCAAAGGCAAAAAGTGTGTGCTAACAAGCAGGCGACAGCCACACAGCCACACAGGCATAGCCGTAGCCGTAGCCGTACAGTTAGTTAGTCGTCGGCAATCGTCACTTACATTACCCTCGTAGCAGCAGGCAGCAGCAGGCAGCAGCACTCTGTGGCAGCGTTTCCCCCCTTCTAGTGTCGAGTGTCATAACAATAAAATTTGACTACAGCAGTACACCGAAATGAAAATGAAAATGGTAATGAAATGGAAACGAAACGAAAACTAAGCCAAAAAAGCAGAGGATAGAATGGCAGAGAGTGTGGCAGGGACAGACAGCGACACTTGCCATAGCCAAGTGCTAAAACCATCCACACACACAAACACACACACACACACACACATGTGGCGTATGCGTAATGAGTTCAAGGCTAAGGCGCAAAATTGCAAATGTCTTTGGCCACAAGCGCAAATGTGAAGCCAAGTCAAGACGAAGCCAAGTCAAAGTCAGCGCTAGGTCCAAGGCAAGGCAAGGCAACGGGCAACGGGCAAGGGGCAAGACACAGCGGGGCATTCATTAAAAGTCAATTGTTAATTGGTAAAGAGAGACAACAACTAAACAAAACAAAACAAAACAAAAACAACAACAAGGCAAGGCACGGGGCAGTGCAGTGCAGTGCAGTGTGGCGGCACAAATGCAATTCAAAGTCCAATCAAGTTAAAATAAACTTGTTTGCATTTGGCATTCAGTTAACAAGTAAATTAATTTTTGTATTTTCCATTCGATTGGAAGGGCAAGAGGAGCAGAACAAACCGCTGCCAAGGCAAGAAAAGGGGTTGAATGGTGGGGGTTGGGGAGGTTAGACCTTGTCATTTCTCTGTGTTATTATTCAATTATACATGCTGACAATTAACGACGAGCTGGCAAATTAAATTAACAATTAGTTTTATTAAACTTGCACACACACAGAGTCAGTGGGGAAAAGTTGTACGCAACATGTGTGTAAGTGTGTGTGTGGAAAACTTTTGCATGCTCATTAACAACAAAAACAACAAGAAGAAGTAAAAGGAAACAAACGAGAGACGAAGACGAAGACGAAGGAGCTGTGGCTGTGGCTGTAGCTGTAGCTGTAGCTGGTGCCCTCAGGCATAAAGTTTGATGGTAAAACGTTGCCAGAGCAACTGGAAGTTCAAGCTTCAAGTCAATTCTTACTGCCAGTAAAAGTTATTTAACACACACACACACACACACACATGCACACAGGCGCACACACATACAGGCGCACAAGTAACCGCAGAAAATAGCAGAAAATAGCAGAAAACATAACCAGCAAAATTTGATTAGAAACAGCCAACCAAGTGGGTTGGGGAAACGTCTTTAAAACTTTTGAACGGCACGATAGAACTTGCCGCTTAAATATTTATTCAAATTGAATATGCAAATGTTGCTGATGAATGGATGTGGATGGGAAATATGCATAGATGAATAGATTTTGGGGCTATAACTACTATATGGCACACAAGTGTGAAAGAGCCTAAGGATGTGAATGAATGCAGTCCCTAACATAGTTGATGTATCAATTTTTGATGCAACATTGGACATATCTACGAGTCCATATATAGAGCCAGATGAATTTTATTTAATTAAACAAAAATCTGAGTATTTGTTGGGAAATATATTTAATGCCGGAAAATATGGCTATATTGAAATGTACGAACATTTTGGCGTTTAATTTTGTAATTAAAAAAATTTGTGCACTAGAAAAACTAGAATTTAAAATAAAAAAATAAATTAAATTTAAATTTAAAGTCAGAAATGTATTCAAATATATTTGTATAAATATTTGTATACGGTTTGCTATGGTCCTAAAGGATTTTCTTTAGCGGATATATTCGTAAATAAATCCTACCTTAAACTGACTAAAATCTGCTATTTTTCTGATAATATTTGGTAAATGATTATTATTTATTTATGCAGAAACAGCGAGCTAAAAACCACAAACTAGTAACACAGCTTACATGTAGTAATAAATAGCACTAGTTGCTGTGACCTTCGGCTATATGTTTATTATTTATTTATTTATTTATTTTGAATTTGTATTGTCCTGCGCTTCAACCAAAATTCACCCAGAACTCAGCCGAAACCGAAACAAGGCCAAAGCCAAATGGCAAAAGGAAAAAATGAAAAGAACCAGAACGGAAAGGAACGCAACGGAATGTATAAACCAAATCCACCTCAATCAGTCAAAGCCATCAGATAAATTACCAACACTAATTGGGTATTTATAGTCGAAACAAACATCAATGACAGACTATCACAAGTGGCAGGCAGGCAGGCAGGCAGGCAAACGGATTGTCAGGAGGCAGGAGGGGCATCGACAAGCAGTGAGGCTCTTCAAAGAGGGAGTGGCTGACGGCCTGCCTGCCGTCGTGCAAACATGTCAGACGAACAGACAGACAAACAGACAACAGAAAATGGCAACGCATAAAATGCGCCATTAGCATTTGAGGGGCTGAGCTGCTGCCCCCAAAGGGTTGTGCAGACATCATCAACGTGAGCGGGAGAGAGAGAGAGAGAGAGGGGTGGGGTCCAGGTTGGGTTCAGTTGGATTTGGGTATGGAAAGGTGCCAGCACCCAGGACCCAGGGACAATGAGCCAACGTGGCGGAAAAGCTGCAGCGGATGTGCCCCCAAACTATTTGGAAAATACTCTCGTAATACTCAACGCCCCGCACCGCACCGCCCCCACTCAGGCTCAGGTTCAGGCATTTTTTCTGTTTTTTTTTCTGGTTTTTGGTTTTGTTTTCTTACCTAACCAACATTATTTTTCCTTCATTTTGCTCGTTTTATTTTATTATTTGTTGTTGTTTTTGTTGTTGTTGTTGTATTTTTCTGGTATTTTACTGTCACACACAACCTTGAACTCTATTTACTTTTTGTCGTATGGGCCTGGCGACATTTTTATTTGTTTTATGACAACAAGGTCGCTTGAGCAGCGTGCCCCGTGCCCCAGGACCAGCTTTCTTTCTTCTTCTTTTTTTTTTTTTTGGGCCATTTAAGCCCGAAAACCTCATGGGAATTGAGGCTGCGTTTGGGTTTTGTGGGGGCTGAACGAGGGGCCTTGGGGCTGTGTGTGCCGCTACTTTTGGTGCTCTTTAAGCGGCTCTTTAAAAATTGTGTAGAGTAATGCAAATACACAAGAAAATGGAGTGTATTCCCATGCTCCCATGCTGTAGATCTATTTTCAGAGGCATAGCATACACATGTAAACCCAATCCCCGCCCACCACCCAACGTATCTGCTGCTTACTATCAGTGTCTGTATCTGTGATATATCAATTACGCCCCAGCCTGGCCCCAGCTACAGCCCATTAGGTGTATAGGTATCAATCATTGTCTGATTTCGAATTGAATAGCCGAATACAAATATATAATTTCTGGGGTCAGAGGAATGCCACTCACTGCTGCTCGAACGCCACTGTCTAAGCCGCTGTCTATCCAGCTCTATAATTGTTGACATCCATATAATGGAAAGGGCACACACACAGACACACAGACACAGACACAGCAACACCAGTAAAGGAGCCAAACAAAAGACGGGATATACCGCCGGGAGTAGCAGTCCTGCTCCTCCCTCGATGCATTATTGTCCCACGCCCCGAAGATACGAACGACGAACGACTGTGCAGCTCTCCTTTCGCTTGGCCTACATCCGAGAGTTCAGAGTTCATGTGTGTGGTGTGTGTTGTGTGTGTGCTGGGGCAACGATACTATTATCAAAGTGTTGCATTGTTTCTGCTCGTATTTATTTGTGCCACACACAGGGCGTACACTGTACAGCGGACAGCGTACCGCGTAGTGTTTGCTACTTTGTTTTTATGCTAAGGTCATCGAAGGCATTGTTCTGGCTATGGCTATGGCTGTGACTGTGTGGCTGCCTTTTTGACTTTTGTCCAACCATATTTATACACATTTTTCTTCTATTTCTATTTATTTCAATGCTTTTATTGTTGCCTGCCCCTCTCCACTATACCCAGCCACCATTTCTGTGTGTGTTGTTGTTGTTTGGCTCTGTGGCAAAGTGCGAATTTGTTTTGCTGCTAAATGGCACAAGGCTCTGGGGAAATGCGTCAAAATGTTGTCGAGTGTTGGGCGGCTGGCGTCTGGGCCCAATGGGGAAAAAGGCTGCAAAAAGGCAAAGCGTTGAAACGTTGGCGGAGAAGCATTGAGCAGCAGCAGCAGGAGGAGTCGGAGGAGCATCGAGCGGCAGGAGGTGGAGCAGCATTATTTAAAAAATGAGAGCAAGCGAAAGTGCCCCGAAGAAGACGTCGAAGAAGAAGGTCAAGCAGCAGCAGCCTTTACAAGTATTTGGGTTGGCTCTGAATGATTCACTCTCTATGGATGGGTGTGTGTGTGTGGTGTTGTGTGGGTGTGTGTGTTGTGTTGTGTGTGTGGTGGAAAACTTAAAGTAAATATTGGCTGATTTACCAGGCACATCGAAGGCAGGCCAGGCCAGGCGCCAGCACTCAAGCATGCCAAACACGTAACGGCGGTGGGCGACTCTCTAATGAAGCTGCCGTTCACTCATGTGTACACATATGAGTGTTAGAAGGTGGCAAAAATGTGTGTGACCTTGTGCCCGAGCAAGTGCCTCGTGTAAGCGAAAAAGAAAGCTGCCAGCAGGCAGCAGGCAGCAGGCAATGGGGAACGAATGATTTTTAAAGCAGGAATTGGGCGCAGCTAAGTGGTGCTCAAAACTAGCAGCAAGTAGACTTTTTTAATGCTGAGATTTTAGCAGCCCAGCCAGAAGGAATTGTTTTGAGTGCAGAATTTTGCGATTGATTTCTGGGTATTAAAACCTGCCTTAAATGCTTAAACTCTATTCGATGATTTGATGTCCGTTTATTGTGGCTTTAATCCTACCTTTCTGTGTAACTTTTAAGCTGCAAACGAAACGTCAAGCCCACAATGCGCATACATAAATTTCCCTGCCAAAGAAAACTGAAGTGAAAACTTATTTGAATGTAGTGTGGCAAGGGGTGGGTGTGGGGTTGGTAGTGGAGGGGAGGGTTGCTTTGTCCTCGTATGCAGCTCTCAAAGCGTGGATTTCGCTCTCTTTGTGGTCTTTTGTGCAGCATACTTAATACTTAATATGCTTAACTAGCGGTAATTAAGGGACAATTTTTGAATAGAACAGCGCGCTGCACCCACCCACCCTCTCTCTCTCTCTCTCTCTCTCTCTCCTCTAGCTCTCTCTCTCCCTCTCTCTAGCTGTCTTTTGATGACAAACAAATGCTCATTAGAGGGCTTAAATTTCCCTTTCTCTCTCACTCTTTTTATATGTCTCTCTCTTTCACTCTCTTTATATGTCTCTCTCTCTCTCTGTCTTTAATTATAAACGACTTAATGTTGGCATTAATGTTGATTCTACCCACTTCCATTTGCAGCATCAAATCATCCAGCACAATCAGCGAGCGGGCGTCATCGTCAGCAGCGGAGATTTGGCCCTTCAGGGTGTGACCCGACATCAGGCGGGGAATTACACCTGCACCGCCTCCAATGTCGAGGGCGATGGCGATTCAAATGTTGTCGAACTGAAAGTGATGTGTAAGTATTCGGTGTGGGTGTGGGTGTGGGTGTGGGGGGCTTTCGTTTTTGTTTGCCCTGTGAATATGTTGATTTGTGGCCAAGGCCAGGCCCGTCACACGTTTCGATTGGTTTTTGGCTGAACACACGGAGCCATAAAAAAAAAGAACTCCACTAAACTCCCAATATCCAGCTGCATGGCTCCCACTTTCTCGCTCTCTTTTAGGGCCATTAACAAACGGTTGCGTTGCGGGTTTTTGGGCGCTTAAATAGAAAATCGAATCGTGGCTTTTGCTCATGGCGCAGATTGCCATTCAAACCCCCACTCAAAATCCTTCTTCAGTGCGGCTGCTGCTGGTGCTGCTGTTGCTGCTGCTGGTGCTGCTGCTGTTTGGTTTCTCGAGTGGACCTTTGACACACAAAAACGAGCATTATTGAGTGTTCGAGTGTGGCTGGCTAGAGCCAGCGAGAACGAGGACAGGCACAAGGATGAATGGCAGGCAGGCAGTCCAGGCATTGGCATTGTGCTGCTGCCCGCTCGTGCCGTGGGTTGGCCTCTTGCAGTTTTATTGCGTATACGCCCCATTATTGTGTCGCTGCTTGAAACCTGTTCGGTTTCTATTGTGTGTGTGTGTTAGGCTCCTTCTGTGGACACTGCTGCACTGTGGAGTGCCAAAGCAGCACAAAACTCTGCACAAACTAAAACCAGCGGGAAGGAAAAGACGCACCCGAAATCCCAAAAATGTTCTTCTTCAAGGCATATGCTTTTCTAGGGAAATATATCACTCTCTCTGTCTCTCTCTCTCTCTCTGTCTCTCTCTGTCTCTCTCTCTCTATCTCTCTCTCTCTCTCTCCCCTCTCTCTCCCGCAGACACTCAAAGAAGTGTTGCGCCCCGGCAGACCTCTTTCCATCGGAGCAAAAACCGCAAATCTTCTGCTCAATTTGTGTTGCCCACGAACTGAGGGCAATGGAGACCAAAAGTTTGGTTAATTAGTTTGCCCTTTTGCGAGCAATTTAGCACAGGCAGCGGCACAGGCAGCGGCAGCGGCACATCCCTCCCACATTCATCTTCGTCTGCTGCCTGACCCCCTGCCCCACTGCCCACTGCTGTTGCCTTATGCTTTGGTTTTTCCGGTGCCATTTCCCTTTTATCACTTGTACTTTGCTCTGTGCTGTGCATTGTATTTTTTTTTTTGTTTGAGCTGCTCTGCTCTGTTCTGTTTTTGGCATTTGTTGTAAGCAGAGCTTCCGCTTTGGCTTTGGCCACAAAACTCACACACACACACACACACACACCTGTGGGGGCACGCTCTTCCTTTGGGGCTGCTGGGGCCGAGCATTTTGTTTACAGCTTTGTTGTTGGTGGCATGCAATATCGACAGTTGTCATCAGAATGCGGCGCACAAAATAAATTCTAGCGCGGGGGGGGACAAACTCAACAAACTCAACAACCTGCAGCAACAAAACCTGCGGCCCAAAACTCTGTGGCAAGAGCGACAGTTGAAAGATTTGACTGCTGCAAAGGATTAGAAAATTGAATTTTCTAGCTGAAAGTTTGCCGTTTCGGCCCAAAAGTTTTTCTTTCACTTAACGGCTGGCGTAGCCCGTAGCCCCCCGTAACCCCCCCTAACCCCCCGTAACCCCACGTAGCGTAGCATTTTCCTCCAGCACTACTATTACTATTTTTGTTGCGCCTTTTCTTTGTGGCAAGGGGAGCTTTGGCTTTGGCTCTGTTTCTGTTTCTGTTTTTCTGCTGCTCTGTTGCTCTGTTCTGTTTGCTCTATTTAGTTAGCTGCTTGAATGGGCAACAAGGAAGCCAAGACCAATACCGAGACCAAGCTCCAGCCCATGACCAAGCCCAAGCCCCAGCCCCAGCTCAAGCCAAAATCCCACACACAGGGCAAAGTTTTCTACTTAGGAGATGATCCATACGCGGCCAGTGGGCGAGGCATGCAAAAACAAAGAAGCCGCTGCCAATACTTCAGCCTTCAGCCTCTTCACTCTCCACTCTCCACTCTGTGATGCGATTATTGATTTGAGCTTCTCTCTCCCTCTCTTTCTCTCCGTCTCACTCTTTGGGGGCTGCTGCAACAGAAAAATGCACTACAAACATCAAAAAAAACTTGAACTGACTTTTGCCGCTCTTCTCTCTCTCGTTCTGCCGTTCTGCCGTTACAGATAAACCAATTTGCCGGCCCGATCAAAAGAAAATCTATGGCGTGGCCCGAAACGAGGCCGCTGAAATCGTTTGCGAAGTGGACGCCTTTCCGCCGCCGGAGAACTTCAAGTGGTCGTTCAATAACACAGCCGAAACCTTCGATATGCCACAGAGCGGCTTCCGTCCACACTCGGCACAGGGCTCCACACTCACCTATACACCAGTGAAGGTAAGTCAATTTTCCTTTTTTATTTTTTATTTTTTTTGCTTTTACTCCAAAAGAAAGACGGAGTAGGAGGCGCAGTAGGAGGCGCAGTAGGTGGAGTGCGTGACCCCAAAAGGCGCATTGAAATGTATGTTAGAACGTCTACAAAAACTACATTTTACATTTACATTAAATGCCAAACATCGCGCGACATTTGAGGTGGAATTTTGTGTTGTGGCTGCCGGCTGCCGGCTGCCTGGCTGGCTGATCAATTTTTCATTTCATATTTTGGCGTGGCTCGTTTTAATGTGAAAATTGTTATTGACACATTTGACATTTGGGGTGCTGTACTTTCCACGGAATGGGCAGGAGTGCGGGGGAGTGGCAGAGTGGCAGAGTGTAGGCGTTTTTGTGTGTGTGTCTGTCTGTGTGTTGTTTTATTGAATAGCAAAAAATTTTAATTAATAGGCGGCAACATATTTGCTGTGTTTTGGCCTGTGTGCGTGTCATGTTGTCAGTGTGGGCCAATGACGGGAGTGTGGGGGGGGTGCATGAAACGGGGCCTGGGCTGGGCTGGGCTGGACTGGGTGCAGGGCCCCCATGATAGAGAGAGACAACTGGGATGGAGGCGTGTCCATGTCCGGGCGGCAGTCAAGCAATTTTAATTAAAAATTCTATTAGCACTGCTTTCTAATTAAAAAATCCAATGCCAGCAGCAGGCAGCACCATGGAACCATGGAACATGGAAGGAACATCATCATCGAACAGCTCAAAATGTCAAAGGTTATAGGAAAAAAAACAACAGCAAGAGGCAGAGAGGCAGCGAGAGGCAGCGAGAGGAAGAGAGAAAGCTAAGGAAAAGCCAGTGAAATTATTGTGTAGTAAATGCCACTTGCCATTGACTTTTATATGAGTGAGTCGTTATCATTCATTTGGGAGGGGGGTGGAGCAAATCAAGCAGATAAAGGGCGCTCTCTCTCCCCCTCTCTGCCACTCTTACTGCTACTCACTCCCCCTCTCTCTTGTTCTCTGGGGGTATCTGTGCATTCGCCATCGGCAAACATTGCTCGCATTAATAGCCAAAAAAAATGTCCATTGGCGATTGCTACTTTTGACGCTCCTCCCCGGCAATTGGCCAAGCAAATTGGGCCATCAATGAGAGGCTGCACACAGTCTCCACGTCTCCCAGCAGTGTCGACTATTTTTGCAGTTTCAGTTTTTGCATTCTCATAGCCACACACACACACAGGCACACACACATGCCCAGCTCATGGCGAAGCAATGCCTTGCGGCAGTACCGCTCGACGCACGACCCCTACACCCCTTCACCCTCCTGTCCACCACCCTTACTGTTATTGTTATTGTTACTAGTTGTAAGCCACGCTAGAGTTAAAAAAATAAATGAATACAAAAAAAAAAAAAAAAACACATGCCCAGCTCATGCCGTGTATATGCGTGTTTTTGGGACAGCATCATATCCCCTCCTCATGATGGCCATCATCATCATCATCTGGCCAGAGACACTGGCACAGTGGCAGTGGCAGCTACAGAGGCAGGCAGCAGGTCTTCACTGCTGCTGCTGCTGCTACTGTTTTTTTGTTTGTTGTAAATTTTTATGTTCTGCCAAAACAAAGTCAAATGTAAAACTGCAAATGGAAAGAGAGTCTGTGAGTAGGTGATCAAATTAAGAAGCCATTCTACGAAATTGCAGCCAAGTGCAGAGGCAAGCCATAGGAGCGAGCAGAGCAGATGGCAGCCATTCCAATGGCTTTTCATAGGTATTTTCATTGCAGCTTAGACGGGCAAACAGTCAGCAGTATCGTCTTTTAAGATACGTTTTTGACATTTTTTTTTATTATTCTGCAGCATTGCAGAAATTATGCCTGATTTATTTGAAGTGTTTCTTCATTTTTCAGTGACTTTTACTGGAGCTATTTCGCACATTTTCATATGTGCATGGGTGCTACATATTCTGCCATACTTTACAGCCCTACAAACTGCACAGTTTGCGGTACAAATCCCATTCAAGACCTGTCCACTGATTTGTTCCAGCCCACCCGAGCAGATCTTTCATTTGGGGGCTTCATTTGGAGCTGCTGCCTCGCCACCTACAACATTTCAATGTCTGACCACAAACGTGTTAAGTCTTTTTCGGACTGGGACTGCGACTGGTGCTGGTACTGGGACTGCGACTGCGACTGTGTAGGTCTGTGTCGCTTGTAAGCCAACAGGGCTGCCCCATAATGGCTGCAGCAGTGGCAAACAACTGCGAGGAGTAGATGCTGTAAATGGTAGGAGGCAGTAGGCAGGAGGCGTGTAGCAACAACCAGCGAGCGAGGCACTCAACACAGTTGTTCAAGTTCCTTTGCACCCCAGATGGTTTAGAGCTTGGCTTGGTTGGGCTTCACTTTCTCTTCCTCTCTCCCCCTCTATTTCTTTTTTTTTTTTTTGTGTGCATAGCTGACCCAGTTTAAAATGTTGCGGTGCTTCTTCGTTGCCACATTCTCTGCTGTTTTTTTTTCTTTCCTTTATTTTTGGCATAGGAACTAATCAAACTGGCGACGACAGCTACACAGGCTCACATTTCAGCGATCAAACGAATAAATTTGTGCAGTCCAAAGCCACAGTCAAACGGAATTCAAATGAGTTCCGTTCACAAACACTCCGACCCCGACAAGGACAACGGGCGAACTGATTGGACGAACACACATACATACACACACACACACACAGATGTACATATATATACTCGCAAATCACATAAATCATTTAGCTCAATTGAATATGAAAAATCCCTTCCGTTCTGTTGTCATATATGCTGTTTCCGGTTTCCGCAATCGCAGCTCAAACATCGCTCACTCGCTCCCTTGCTCGCTCACTCGTTCCATCCTTCCTGTTGCCTTTCTTCCCCATTTTTTTGCCCAATTTTTTCTGATTTCTGTGTGTGTGTGATTTGCTCAAAGGCAGTCGCCAGAGACAACTTCTCATTAATTTGGGTTTGCTGCAACCAAGGGGGTAGCTGAAAAGTGTGTGGAGTTAGATGGAAATTATATTCCTTTAATCCTATGTGTTATTTTTATTAAATATTTATTTATTTTATTTATATATTTATTTAACTATTTATTTTAAAATTTTCATCATTTATTTCATTATTTCATATATTGGAGTTAGATGGGAATTATATTATTTTAATCTTTTAATCTTATGTGTTATTTTGTATTATATATTTACTATTTTATTTATATATTTATTTAACTATTTATTTGATCATTTTCATTATTTATTTCATTATTTCATTTATTATAGTTAGTTGGAAATTATATTCTTTTAGTTTTATGTGTTATTTTGATTATATAATTGATTTTATTTATATATATTTATATATTATATTTATTTATATATGTATGTATATATTTCATTTATTGGATTTAGATGGGAATTATATTATTTTAATCTTATGTGTTATGTGTTATTTTTATTATACATTTATTATTTTATTCATATATTTATTTATCTATTTATTTCATAATTTTCATCATCTATTTCTTGATTTTTATTTTAATAGATCCAAAACTCTGCTGTTTGGTTGGGAATTTCTTCCAACAAGTCTTTTATTCTGCGTAGGCAGGCGACCTGCGGACATATAAATTTCTCAAATATTTCCCTCAAAGAACATACATATTTCAGTCTATCGTGTCGACTGGCCAACAACAACAACAAACAAAAAAAACGTATTAAAATGTCACTTAAATGTTTGGATTTTTAATTAAAATGCATAAATAATAATATTTTGCACAGAGAATGCAATGTCTTGTCAAAAGCTGTCCCCTAACTTTAGATTCTTAGCCTCACGCACGCACGCAGGCACGCACGTATCTACATATATGTACATATGTGTGTGTGTGTGTATGAGTGTATTCTCATATTTTATGGATTTTGTTTGTGTTTCTACTGCTGCTGCTGCTGCTACGCTTGACAACTGCAACAATATTTACCCTTTTCTGGCTGCTGCTGCAACATTAAAACAAAATAAACAATATAAAATAATCATAATAAATAGATGGGCATAAATTTGCAGGCACTGTGTCTGTGTGTGTGTCTCTGCTTTAGGCAAAAATTATCACAAGGATTGTCGGGTCTACAATGATGACAGTTGCACCAGAGAGAGACAGGGAGAGAGCCCTACTAGGCCTGGCCTATGCTTTTTCCAACATTTACTATAACAGAGTGCGCCCCCCAAAAAGTATGCAATGCTTTTTCCTACATTGATTATTACTTAAAATTCTATGCATTTCTATGTGCGAGTGCTGCTTGTGGGTGTGTGTGTGTGTATGTTTTGGATGTGCCTTGTGGCCCTGGCAGCTCTATTATTATATTGCCATATCCTCTCTCTCTCTCTCGCTCCCTCTCTCTCTCTCTCTGCGTCTCTGTTGGTTTGTTGGTGTTGATGCACAGTGTTGGCAGCTGCCATGTTGGCGCCTTTTGTGCCAACACTTTTACACACAGAGCAACAGCAACAGCAACAATAACCAGAAGAGCACAACCACAATAACCATCCACACAAGACACAAACACAGACACAGACACAAACACAGCCATAGACATAGACACATGGCACCTAGCTGAAATATACATACATATGTATGAGAGTATATTTTAATTTTCATAAATTTGTCACAAATTTACATAAATACTTTTGCCGCCCGCCCGCAAGCACTCTTCAACGTTGCTTCAACACGTTCAATTGTTGAAGGCAAAAGCACTTACATAGACACAAGCATACACGCACTCACACACACACACATACACATACCCACACACATACGTATGTAACTTTTGGGTAAAGGAAACAACCAAATGGAAAGGTATTTTCCTTTTATTTTATGTAGCTTTTAATTAGCAGTTTGAAGTTCTTTGAAGTGAAGCAAACCAAAGGTCAAAGCGATTTCGGGCTTAGGAATCCATAGATACATTTTGTGTGCATAAAAGGGCAATCAATCAGTGCTTCAACTTTTAAGATTCTCCTTTCTGCCGAACCATTAAAGTCGCTTTGCCTGACACCCGCTGTACGTATCTGTATCCGTAACTGTGTGTAATTTTTCTCTGTGTTTCTCTCTTGTTGCCCTAATTAAAATGACAGCCGCGCACCCAGCACAAAAAGCAGAAAAAAAAAGATACGAGTAGCGTAGAGGAAAAGGGAGTGGCTAAGGGAGAGACTAAGGGCCAAGGGCCAAAGTACGGCCGTACGGCCTGCCATGAAACGCGTGCCGACTGATAAATAAGCTGCAATTTGCGTTGACATTTTGCTGTGCACCGAAAGTGATTTCAATTTTTAATGAGTTCATGTCGCCTGAAGTTGATTAAGTGCGTTGATTCTTTGCCAACCCGAAACGGAAACAGAACCAGAACCAGAACCAAACCGTAAACCCAACGACACAAAGGACACAAAGGTAAACATACAAGAGATACGCAGACACAAAGATACGTGGGCTTGTGACATGTCCCTCCTCCTCCGTGAATCGAATCAATTGTTGCGAATGTTTTGTCACACTGCTGCAGTCAGAGAGTCCAATGATTAAGCAGCCAGGTTTGTGTGGGGCATTCAAATATTTTTTATATATATATCTCTTGGTTTGGATATCTCCATAGAGCGATGCAAATCATCAGCAAGCGGAGTGCTGCCCCATTTTTTCTTTTTGTTCTTGTTGCTGTTTAGCTTCGTGGGTGGTTGGGTGGTTGGGTGGTTGGTTGTGTGCACTTGACCGTAATAGGAAGGATTTCATTAGCACAACATTTGGCAAAATGCAAACAAATAAACGAGAGGGACAAACAATGGAATAGAGCGACAGACCGCAGGCGGCCACTTAGCACAGGAATAGACAGGATACACACGGTTGGCTGTATACATACATACATATATAGACAAACAGACATGGTGGAGAGCAGACAGCAGACACAGGACAGGGGGCATTAAAGCCATGTTAACATTGTTTCCCTTTTCGCCAAACGATGCTTGCCCCACACACGATATATATGTGGGTTCTCCGATGATGTGTGTGTGTGTGTGTGCATGGGCGGTTGTAACAACACGCACACACACACAGAAAATGCTTCATTTGTTTTTACTGTCGGGTGGGCATTTTTTCCGCCTTCTTGGACATTAAAAGCATTCCGCCTACCATCTTCCGCCTCCACATTCTTGGACCGACCACCAGCCCAACAGTGTATTGACATGACACGAAATTATATTAATGAAAAACTTATTGACAGCTGCGATCAATCACAGAGGGCAGAGAGCACTGCTTGACACCCAACAATGATATTGATTTAATGAATTAAGTTCATACTGATGTTCGTACATACATATGTAGGGATATTTATCCTACAGAGATCCCACAGAGATGTCTATGAAAGATTGCAATAATTTTAAATGTTTTCTTGTGTGTTGTGTTGTGTTTTCTCTTCTGTTGAATGTTTTAAGCCATAAAAAAAGGAATTACCATTGATCTGAAAGTAAACAAAAAATAAATTTTAATTTTTACATCAACAAAAATTGTTATTTATAAAAGTTTAGTTGTTTGTTTTGATTTAGTTGTTGAATATAAAAAAAATATATTAAATTATTATTAATATTAAATTAAAATATTAAATTAATAAAATTAAAATCAACAAAATAATAATAAATAAATAATAATAATAAATAATGGTAATAAATTAAATAAAAATAATGTTTTTTTTTTTATTTAAAGGCCTTAAGAATTATATAAAGTAAAAGAAATAAATAATTAAATTTAAAAAAATAAATAAATATGAATAAATAATTAAATTAAATAAAATAAAATAAAGAATAAATAATGTTTTTTAAATTGTAAAGCCTCAAGAATTATATAAAATAAATATAAATAAATAATTAAATAAAATAAAATAAAGAATAAATAAATATAATGTTTTTTTAAATTATAAATCCTTAAGAACTATATAAAATAAATATAAATAAATAAATATAAAAGATACAAACAAATTCCACAATCTCAGCCAACAACTTTTGTTGTTGCCACCGCATAAATCGTTTGACAGATTGATGAACTGAAAACGCCCCACTGAAATCCTCACCGCTCCCTCCACTCCGGCCCCATGTCAACCCCATCAATAATCCGCCTGTTCAAACTGTGCTTCAACTATTTTTCAATATATTCTTCTGTATTTCTTTTTCTGTTTTATTGTTGTTGCAGGAAATGGACTTTGGCACCATCATGTGCTGGGCGGACAACAATGTGGGTCAGCAGAAGGAGCCCTGTGTGTTCCATTTGATAGCCGCTGGCAAACCGGAAGCGCCCACCAACTGTACGGTGGTCAATCAGACGTCCGATTCCCTGGAGGTATACTGCATCGAAGGTGAGTTATACACACACACACAGAGATATATACATTCACACAGAAGTACATACATATATACATACATATAGAGAGGCAGTCGTACATCAAATTGCCAGGCAATTTGTTGGCATTTTTTTTTTTTTTTACTGTTTTTGGTTGCGGTTCTTGTTCCAATAATTGTTGATGAGCCAATCAATGGCCGAAAAAGGCAAAGGGGCAATGGTCAAAAGAAGAAGCAGAAGCAGAAGCAGGAAAAGGAACTGGAACTGGAGAGGGGACTGGTGGGGTGGTGGTAGGGGGCATCCTTTTTACAGCAGCAGCAGAATGTAGTTGTGTATTTTGTATGTTGAGTTTCCTGCAACGCTTTTCAGACTCATTTAAAATACATGAGCAACTTAAGTGCACTTTGGCAGCGCATCTACGTAGATGTCTATCCACAGATACACATGTATCTGGCCATGCATGTGTGTGTCTGTGTGTGTGTTTGTGTGTGTACTTCCTTTCCACACAGATACAAATAATAATAAAAATGCAATGAAAGCATAAAAATAGAAAGGAAACACAGCAACAGCAGCAACAGCAACAGCAGCAGAACAGAAGAAATAATGTTGCTGTTGTACATTTTGCAGTTCAGTTTCCAGTTAAAAATTTTTGAGTCAGTAATAAATAAAATAAAAGCACCAAGCGATGAACTGCTGGTGGAAGTAAAAGCTGAAAAGAGAGAACTCAAGTGGCACAGTGTGGCAGTGGCAGAGTGGCAGTGGCAAGCGCAGGCGGAGCAGCATGAAAGTTAAGCGCAAATTTGTACATACAAAATGTTTTGGCTTGTTATGCAAGTTGCTGCCAAAGAAGCAAAAAAAAAAAAAAAAAAAAAAACAAAAAGCAGGCAAAAGACGGCAAAAGGCAAAGCCAAAGCCAGAGGATAACTCTCGAGTACGGGATGGCAGAAGCGATGTGAAACTTTAAATACAAATTCAATTCGCATATTTTATGCGCAAATGCAAAGACAGAAAAATGCCAGCAAAGCGCAAAATAAGCAGCAAGCAGCAGCAGCAAGCAGCACAAATTGCAGCAGAGCAGAAAGCACAGTTCAAAGTTCGCGCTGAAGTTGCAGCAAGCCAGCCAGGGAGAGAGAGGAGAGACACGAGAGCAAATGTCCTCGCAAATTGCAGGGCAACTCTGGGCATCAGCTTATGATGCATTTATGCAGCCCTTGAGTGCTGCTGTTGCTGCTGCTGCTGCTGCAAGTCACAGAGTCACAGTAGTCCCCGGCGCGAAAGCAAAAGCAAATCAAAGTGCAGCATAACGAGGCGACTGCCGCTGCCTGCCTGACTGCCTGACTGCCAGCTGCAAAGTGCAACAAAAAGCGCATAATAACTGCATACTTAATGGCGCTCTTTCCCGGCTACTCTTTTCATTCGCTTCAGTTTTTTTTCTACGCTCTCCTTTCAAGTCATTTCCTTCGTCCCGTCTGTAGTGGCTTTAAGCCGCTCAAATAATTTTGCCACCAATTGCTGCGGCCAATTGTTGTGCTAAATGTTGTCTCAAGTGGAATTGGAATTGGCATTGGCTCTTGGGTTACCCTGCCACCGTTTGCTGCTGCTGCGGTACAACACTGCGTCTACGTAATGTGTTATTAAATTAAACGCTAGCCAACCAGTAGAAAAGTAGAAAAGGTAGCCCCAATGAAGCGGCCTTGGCTGCCTTGGATGCCTTAATTGTGTTTAAATATTGCTTACAAATTTCCCAGAACTAATGTAAAAAAAAGAGAGAGTCGAAAATTCAATAGAATTGCTTGCCTTGTAAATTATTTTGGATTATTCCAAGAAACATTTGAATATTCAATGGGAAAATATGCCATAATTTAACCCTTAAAAGAACATTTCGTTTTTCTTTTTCACTTTAACTTTCTCTTCTCTCTCTAAGGCACTCTCTCTATTTTTTCAGTGATTCTATCTGATCACCCAAATGAGCTTTCACAGTGCGTATACTTGATGGGCAAACTTTAGTATATCATTACGTATGCACTGTGCAGGGTGCAGACTTTAAGCTGCCGCCCCATCTACCGCTCTCTCGCTCACTCTCTCCCTGCCATTGTTCGCCTTATTACGGCATCGGGGGCCCGCCCACACCAGCGCTACACCCCCGCGGGCTGCTAATTTAGTGGCTGCACATTATTATCATAGTCATCAGCATCATTAAAACTTTAACGCAAGTTGTTTAAGCACAACACAAGAGCAGCAGCAGCACCAGCAGCCGCACCAGCAGCAGCAGCAGCGGTGGAAGCGGCGTTGGGCTAGCGCACAATGCGATACTTTTTATATTGCACTTTACATTAAGGCAAACGACTGCTGATGTGCCACACCCCACATTCACACAGTCCACCCACTACCCGTGCTCCATGCTAGCCATCAGCCCTGCCCCTTTCCGCCCAGCCATTGCGCTGCTGCGAGGGACTCTCGTTTGGTCGTTTCTTGTGCTCTTTTTTAGAGAGAGTTGCCATTGTTTCAGGGAGAGGTTTGCTGTGCAAAGCAGCTAACAATTCTTTGCAGTCTGCACAAAAAAATGTATTGAAAAATTGTCGCAGTCTTAGAGATTACTTGGATTGTAAATTGGTAGCCTTTGGGCTCATTTTTAAAAGAAACAATTCCCATTTTATGTTTGTTTTTATTAACCAATAATACGAATAACAATAATAATGCAATTTTTGGGTATCCAAATTGATATCCTATCGCGCCCTTAACCTCTAAGAAATCTACGAAATCCTGCAGGGTATTTTGATTTTCGGCTATCATCTATGGATATCCCCACTCCGGTTTTTTTGTTTTGTATAATAACTCAACTTTAGCTGTGCGGTTGGTGCACGTTTCGACTTTAATAAGCCAGCACGCAACTCTTGGCCAACTCAACTCGACATGGCCCCGTCGCCTCAGCTCAAACTCAAATTCAAACTGCAAAACCCAGAGCCCGAGACCGCCCGAGACCGCCAGAAACCCCCCAGAACCAACTCAACTCTGGACTCTGGAATTGAATTCAATGTGCGGGCAACGCGACGCGGCCGCTTCTGGCTGCGGAACTTGGGCTGAAAGCTGAAGACAACTTCTGCCGCTGCCGCTGCCACCGCCACTCCCGCTGCTGCTGATGTTGCTGCTCTGTTTTTTCTTTCTCTTCTTGGTTCGGGGGGGTGGGGAAAACAACAACTAACCAAACTCATCAAGCGTCGGTTTAATATAATAAAATTTCAGTTTATAACATTTTGCTTGGCCCTAAGACTCCCCCCCCATCTGGGCCCACTGCCCACTTTCCGCTGTGTTTTTCCCCTGCTGCTCCTTTCTGTTGCTTTATTATTTTTACTCCAATGTTGCTGTTGCCATTGTTGCTGCTGCTGCTGCTGCTGGTAGCAGACGAGTAAATAAAATTAACCCATTACAATGAAGTTTTTTCTGTTGTTGAGGAAAATTTCATTAGCTAAACGTTTTAAAGTGCGCACAAAATGGCCGCCAACGACAAGGATACAGGCAGAGAGAGTGAGTGAGTGAGAGAGATCCCCTAAAAAAGGGATAAAGCAGAGGAATAAGGCAAAGAGGGCAAAGAGAATGGACAGCGAACAATGACGGCTGCCTTTGAAGCAAAGCCCAAGCCCAGCCACATTCTTTTCACTCTATTTCGTGGGCGGTGTGGGCCCTTTTTCCTTTGTGGAGCAAGCGGCTAAATTCATAGCCAACATATAAAACATTTTCCCCCAACAACAATAGCAACAACAACAACAATTTCCCTGCTTCGAGTCCTGCCTCAAGTAGTGCCAGCCGCACTTGGCTTGGAGAAGAGAAAACCTTTTCAGTGGAAGCCACCGCCACTGCCACTGCCGCTGCCTGCCTTTATTACAAAATATTTTAACATTTTTCGTTTTAAGTGTTTTAAGTCGGCTTTTGTGTCTACAATGAAGTGCCATTTGAGCAGTCAAAAAAGCTAAGCAAAAGGCGGCCAGCAGCCAGGGATATTAGCCTGCTTTTTTGGGCATAAGGCGCTCCCCATCCATTTCCAAAAATGAAGAAAAAACACCCCTCACACCCACTCTCTAGTGGGTGCACTGTGTGGGGTCAGAGTTCTTTTGTGGCGTTATTAAATGGCATTTAAAATGTAACTTTAGATTACTTTAAATACACACACACACAGCGTGTTTTTTTTTTTTTTGGTTGGGACTGAGAGGTCAAGGGTTAAAGGCACTTCAATTATGAGTGGAGTACTTCATAGGCTCTGGGCAAGGGTCGTAGCTAAACACTTGATGACGCTCGCTGCTGGTAGTTTCTATTTATTTTTTTTTTTTTGGGTGCGCTGAAAGCAGTGAAAAGGAGCTGGAAATTCGAAAAAAGAGCTTTGGAAATGAAGTGGGGAATATGAGGTGAGAGGCTTACATGTAATAGATATTTAGTTGCATGTGGTTAAGTGCAACCTTTTACTGTGGAATTAATTTGTTGAAAGAATTAGTTGCTAGTGGAAATAATATTACAGTTGCTTAGAAATATTCTAAACATTGTTGTAGGAGGGGGTGCATAATGGTGTAAGTGCTTTGAGATCCGTGTGGAGAGTCGCCTGGAGACCGAGCCGATCTCACAGCGCTCTCAGAGAGCGGTAACAGCGAGCGCTTACAATACACCGATCGGTAACAGTGCGCTGTAACGGCCAGACTGTTAACGTAAAGTGGCAAGATGCTGCTAAGGAAGAGCAATAACAGACTGCACTGTGGCTCTGTTAGAGCTCTGTTAGAGCCGCTGACCTGAACCACTTTGATTTTGCCACAAAAATGTGACAAAGATATGGAAAAGCTTTTAAATTGCTTTAACAATTAAACTCTTTTTAGCGAGCTATTCTAAATTAGTATTATTATTATTCCAAGTCTTTAGCAATTATTTAAAAACAATTTTACTCAATAATAAATAAAAAACTTATACAAAACATAGGAAAAGTCCTTCTGCTAATGAACAGATTATCTGTGCTTGAAAGTTAAGCCGCTACAGTTGTATTTTCTCTTTTAAAAATCCATCTCTCATTACACATTCATTTCGTATTAAACAGCCCATCGAATGACTATAAACACTCCACAATTTCCCCTCCCTCTCCACACCAATTCAACGAAGTTCTTCAAAGCTTCGCAAAACTTGTTTCACTTCTCAGTCAAATCGCGAGCTTAAAAAGTTGTTGTCACAATAACTTTTGTCTGTAATGTAATTCCATTTTATCAAAATCAAAATCAAAGTCAATGTCAGCAAAAGCAAAAGTCCAGCTACAAAAGTCGCTGGGGATAAGCGTCATTTCAGAGTCATAAATAAATCTTTCTTTACCTTTTGCCCATAACAAATCCTTCAAAAACCAGCAACAGCATTGGAATCTGAATCTGAATCGGAATCAGCATAAAACACACAGTCGGTCAGAGGGAACACTCAGTACAGTCAATTCCAGCAACTACTTAATAAGCAACAGACCACCCACACCCCTCCACCAAAGCCCCACCACAGTCACCACCCCCCCACCACACCGCCACCAATACAAATCCTGAGTTAATATGCTAAATAATCCCAAGTTCGTGCCAAGTTATACAATCAGAGTGTGCCCACTGCCCACTCTCGCCCCCCGCTTATTTTTGCAGGCTTCGATGGCGGCATGCGTCAATGGTTCCTCATGGAAATCTACGATCAGCATAGCGGCCAGCTACAGGCCAACATCAGTGCCAAGTTTGCGGCCTTGGCCGTAACGGGTCTGGATGCGGGCCGTTTGTTTCGCATCTATGTCTATGCTGTGAATGGACGTGGACGCAGCGATGCGGTGGCCCTCGATGGCTATACCCTCAAGGCCGCTGAAAAGCAGACGGGTAAGTGCAAAAACTCAAAAAATATGTATAAAAATTAGAATCAGAATCCCCACCGCTTTCCCTATGAATATTTAATGCATTCTGAGCGGCGCGTGCGTTTTGCTTTTTATGCATTTTTTATGTTAATATTTTGGCTCTCTCGCTCTCCCACAAACTGCATAACTTTGCAGTGGGTCGCTCTCTCTCTCTCCCTCTCTGTCCCTGTCTCTGTCGTCCGTATCAGTTTCCTCCTTTTTGCTCTAAAGATTGTTTCGCGGGGCTTTATGATTATTATGCCACCTCGCAATTTAATTACGCTAAACTGCTCAATGAATTGTAAATTCTGCGACACAAAACTTTCGTCCCGGCTGCAGTTTAAAGGAAAAGCCCCAAAAAAAAAACATAAAATAAAAAAAAAAAGGAAAATGCAAAGCGACGAAGAAAATTTTATGCACGAAACACACACACACACACACAAAAGTAGCGCAAAAAATCTGAAATGATTAGCATTAATGAATTGTTTTTTAGTGGGGTAGAATCTGGCCGCCGCCCGAGTTTGGGCTTCTAAACGAAGAAAGCAAATTGTAATGCTAATTAGCCAAAGAGCCAAAACGGCATAAAGAGGGCAGACAAGAGTTTTATGTTGCCTTTTCTTTTTATTTTCGTTTCGTTTCGTTTGTCTTCCCTTTGGTGGAAAAGGTTGTGGGACAGAGTCACATTTTGTGTAAACAACTTGAGCCGACATTTCAATTTTTCATAAAGTCACAGGGCGAAGAAGACGAAGACGACGAAGAAGAAGAAGAAGGCGGAGCACAGACAGCTACACAGACAGACAGACAGACAGAAAAGTGCAAAGCAAACAACAGACTGGCAGCAGGCAGGCAGCAGTCCGGCAGAGGGAAGAAAACGGAGATGGAAATGTAAAGAGGAATGAAAATTTATCTTTGGTAAAAAGTCAAAGTTTAAATGCCCTGACCAAAAAAGGATAAATGCTGAAAATTAATGCTGAAAGTATTGGCCTCTTGGGAATATCACTCTGCATTTGATTGGCATTGATTGAAAGCAAAGGCAGGCAAAGAGAGCACAAAAAAAGGAGAATGCAAGAGGCATATCAAAGATACAAGAAAAAGTAAGAGCAGAGCAATAGACAGAGGAGGTAGATGAGAAACAGAGAACAGCGACAGAGAACCAAAGCAGAGATCTATGGGAATGTTAATGTAATGTTAACGTAAGCTGTAACGTACCTGATCATGTTAAGTGTGTTATGTTATGGCAATTACTCTATGTTAAGTGTGTTATGTTATGGCAATTACTCCATGTTAAGTGTGTTATGTTAAATATTATGCTAATGTATTGGTAGCTGTCCCCGCATAATGTTAAGCATAATATTATGTTGATTTTAATTTTTTTGTTTTCTTTTCTGAATTTTACGATTTTTCATCTTCATTGTTTTATTTAATGCAATTATTTTTGCAATGTTTTGCAGTTGCTCTCACCTCGTACAAGGGCAGCGCCCAGAGTCCCGATAACTTTGAGCTAACACCGATCCTCTCGATTGGCATCTTTGTGGGCATACTGGTGGCCATCGTTTGCATTGGCATTGGCACAATTGCCGCATTGAAGTTGCGCTCGCACAAGCATCAACAGCAGCAGAAATTTGTACATCCCAATGCGAAATTCTCACGTCCGGGCAATTTACAAATTAAGGATAAAATCTCATTGCCATTGAGTCACTCGGAGGAGATGTACGATGAGAAGAATCCCGATGTTGTGCCCTACAATGAGGGTAAGTACGGCGGGGAGGGGGGCTAACTGCTTCAAGATGAATGTGTCTGGGGCATCCGACGACGACGACGACGACTTCTGTTTGCAATTTATGGAGCTGTACATTGGGGCTTAAGGCTTAAGGCTGCTGGTGCTGCTGGCAGCCCTTTATGCAAATGTATTTGACAGGCCCAAAACAAACAGGAACAACAGGGCAGCACACACTCCTGAAGAAGGGCTGACTGGCTGTGCTCCTGCTGTCTCACTGGCTGCCTGCATTTTTGTGCTGCATTGCTGCTGTTTTGCCAGTGTTGAAATATTTAAATGACAGCTAATTGCTGTCATGCCTCGTGCCATCGGTTAGGCTGCTTGTTTGCTCATGTGTCTGCAGTCGAGTGCTGCTACTGCTGCTGCTGCTACTCCTGCTGGTTGCCTTAAAGCGGCATCATCTTGATGGCTGTGATGGTAGAAACAAGCGGATGCTTAAAGGGCCAACAGGGCAGGCAGCACAAATTTCACTCACTGCACGTTTCTTTTGGTTCTTGATTAATGGCAATCAAGAAATCAAGCGGCAGCAGGAGCTCAACTCCAGAAAGCAGGCAGGCAGGCAGGCAGCAGAACCAGTAGCAAAAGCAGGCAGCAAGCAGCACAACAATTTAATCAATTTTCCAAACGTAAAGCAATTTCATGGCCAAAAAAAAAAAAAAAAAAATATTGAACAAGCAGCCAGCAGTGTGCGGGCTCGGGTTGGGGCAGGAAAATTGAACCTGAAGGAAGATGGAAAACTTGCTACCGAAAATCAGCAAAAGATTTGAGGGGCATCGCCCAGCCATCGCCGGTACGGCTCGGACGGCAAAACTTTGCCCTTGCCACTTAACAAAAACAGCAACAAAAAACGGTGGAGTGTAGTGCTAGGGGTGAGGGGTGCGTGGTGCGCGGTGCGTGGTGCGGGGTGGGCTAAAAACCAGCTCAAACTTTTTGAACTAACCAACCGTTCGTCGTTTTGCTTTCTCTCCCTCTCTCTCTCTATCTCTGTCTGTTTCTCCTTCCAGTGGATGGTGAATATAAACAAAAATCAGCAACACAAACGCCATCGGGACATCTTTCGACAACCAGCGAGGTGGAAATCAGCTGCAAGCCAGGCTCAACATCCGGTGGCACTGGCACTGGCACTGGCAACGTTGGCGGCGGCAGTGCCACCAACAATGCCAACAACTCCAACGACAGTGGCACCTATCAGAGCAGCAAGGTAAGCCCAGCGGTAGAGGCAGAGGCAGTGCCAGTTGGGTGCCAGTTGGGTGGCAAGCGCAAAACTGTCATCATCAAAAGTTTTTCGGCCACGAAAAGTTTTAATTACAGTCGAACTACTCTATGACGAACTCTTGTGTAGGTAGAGAGGAACACACACAGATCGCCCGACCATACCCCCATGACCCCTCACGTTGTGGAAAAGTTGAAAAGGAAAACATTGCCATGACAAATGCTTTGATTTTCTTTGGCGGCTGGGGGATTAAATCTTTTACTTCTTCTTCGGTATAAAAAGTCTTGATTATTGCTTAACTAAATGATTACCTGAGTGGGGGTGGGGCAGCAGGGGAGGAGACACTTTTGCGGGTCAGCAGGTTTCCAGGAACGGGTTCAAAGTGCTTCGTGTAAGTTTCTGAAATAAAGTGAAATTTTGTTGGCAACTTTCAAGTGGAGGGTTTTTCAATGGAAATTCTTAGCGTAGAGATTCTTGAGATTCTTAGCGTAGTTTCGACTGTACTTTGGCCCAGGAGTACTTTACTTATTAAATTCAGAAAAAAATTCTTTACACTTTTCTCCTACACTTTCTGCAGGACGATGAGCTGCACTATGCCGAGCTGTCGCTGAATCAGGTGCCTGCCACTAGCAACTCCAAGAAGGGCCAGCCACAGCAACAGCAGCAGCAACAGCAGCAGGGTCAGCAGGGCCAGGGCGTGGGTGTGGGCGTGGGTGTGGGCGTGGGTGTGCTGGGCGGCACTCTGCCGCATGGCTCTAGCATGCGCAAGCTGTTGCCCAGCATACCGGCAACGGCAACGTTGCAGCGACACAAACCGAATGCGGGCGGCATGCAGCATCCGCATCAGCACGCTCCGCCGCCCACATACGATTACGATTACTTTGAGGAGCCAACGATATACGCGCAGATCGACGCATACAAGACACGCGGCGGAGGAGGTGGTGGAGTAGGTGCAACCACGGCCGGAAGTGACAGACAGATGCAAATGCAGATGCAGATGCAGGTGGACACTGGCATTGGACCTGGTGGCGTCGTCTTTCCGCCATGCATCTCATCGCCGGGATCGCATGGCACTCCATCGACCGTGTCGCCGGGCACGGTGCAAATGTACACGCTACCCTCCCATCCCGGTGGCTATCACACACTGCCACACAATCATCATCAACAGCAGCAGCAGGGGCAGGGGGCTGCAGCTGCACCCCAAAACTCCGCTTCGATGATGCAAATGATGCAGCAGCAGCAACAGCAGCAACAGTTGCAGCAGCAGCATCATCATCCAGCTGGCAATATGCCCATGCCGCCATCCTACCAGCAGCATCAGCAGCAGCAGCAGCAGCAGCAGTTGGTCCATGGCCAGATGCTCGTCTCGAGCAACAGCAGCGGACTGGCATCGACAACGGCGGCGGTGGCCAGTCCCAGCAGCTCACTCTCCGGGCTGTCGGGCGTGGGGGGCAAGTCCTATTCGCGTGAGATAGTCACAGTGCGCACACCGCTCATGTATTCGCAGCAGGAGAGCTGTGTTTAAGCACATTCCACACACCAATCCCAAACCCAAACCCAAACCCGAACCAGAACCCTAACTCCCTCCCTAGCTTCCTCCACACATCCTAAATGTTAGTTATATAAGTCTTGAGCTCTTTGTGGTTTGTGTCTAGGCTTAAGCGTTGCCAAAACGAATTGAATTAAATAAAATGAATTGAATTGAACCAAAAAAAAAAAATAAAGGGAATCAGCAGCAGCATCAGCAAACCCAAACTGTGAGACTCTCTCCCTTAAAGAGACAGAGCAGCCGATTATAATTTATATTGGAAAAACGCAGTGCAGTGCAGTGCAGTAAATATTTGAGGCATAAAACACACACACACACACAGCCATATAAATAAATCAAAATTGATTAACGAAAATAGAAAGCCAACCTAGAGCAGAGCAGAGAAGAGCGGAGCGGCGTATACTGCCTTTTGCATTGCACAATTTATGGCAATTCATTTTCGATTCCACACAATAAATTGCACAAAACACAAATTTGTCAAAAACTGAAAGCAAAAACAAAAAAAAAGTAGCTACGGCTGTTACACGTTACATGATGCTGGGGCCAGCCGATAATAGCAGATCATAATTTTTCTGAATTTTTCTGTATGAAATTTTATGCCAAAAGGGGCAACAAAACAGTGACTAAAGTGCAGCCTCGTTGCCTCTAAAATAGCAGCTTTTTAAATTTATCTTTGGTTAGAGATAGAAAATGATAATGATGATGGGTGCAGCAAGCAGCTGGCAGGCAGGCAGCAGTCAGGCAGCAGAGAGAAGAATGTTCCTTCCTTACAGTAAGTACTCGAAATGAACAAACAGTTCATTATCATACATACACAACATATTTTTCCATACAAACACACACACACAAATATAACTGATCTGATCTGAGAGAACTTTCCATAAAAATGTTTGTAAATGTTTGTAAATGTAAATGTCAGACCCAAAGGAGTAGCAATTTATGGCAAATCAGGCTCAAAAACAAAGGCATAAATCTAGTAAATTATACTAACATATAGACACTTGTACTAAATAATAGACTAACACACAACCACACACACACACAGACATACACACAAACGAAAGCTCACTGGCAACCAGAGATTAAGGGAGAGCAGCAAAAGCAACAATTCTTGGCAATTATATTGAAAATAAATTACATTATTCGAAAATCTAATGGTACACACACACAAACACACACAAATTAGCTGCAAATTAGCTTAGTGCATAAAATGAAAGAGAAAATACCAAGTATTAAATCGTGTATATAGGCAAAAATAACAACAACAAAAACAACAGCAAAATCGTAAATCAAATTTATATATATCTGTATATTTTACAAAAATCAAACCCGCAAAATGAATGTAAATTAGCAGGGCACCATTCATCAATGCAATGGACTCCACACTCCCCAAAATACAAAATACAAAAAAAAAAAAAAAACACAAAAAGAGAAGACTATAAATATTTCGTTGGAATGTAAAAGAAAATAAAGTATAAGTACATAAAATAACAATAAAAAAAAGAAAAAAAAACTGTTGTTTGTAAATTGCATTTATATGTATATGTATGTGTACTATATATCAAAATGTATATTACTTATTTCTTTGTCTCCTTCAAAATGTGTATAAATCAATGTTTCAACGCAAAAGAATAAAATGGCAGAGAGATAAATGAATGCACCATGTAAATGATTGTTACATTTTAAATGTTTAAACGAAAATGTTTAAAGCTGTAAGCCCAAAAGGGTCAAATGTAATTTCAAATTCTAGCAAAATGGAAAAACCAAAAAAAAAAAAATTAATAAAACATAAAAGTGATTTCTCTTACATCAACTAGAAATGGAAAAAAAAAAAAACACAAAACACACACACATAATATTTATATCACATAAGAAATCCATCTACATTTACGCGTATAATTCTGCATGTAAGTGTTTCCAAAAAACAAAAACAAAAGGAAAATAATATGAAATATGAACCTATCGATAAGTGTAGCTAATTCTAGCATCTAAAAAAATTTAAGTATAAAACACACACACAGATAAATATAATTGTAAAATAAAGATTAAAGATTTAGTTTATAACAAACAAAAAAAAATAATTCAAGCATATATGTACTCGATAAATGAATTATAAATGTATGTTACGATTAAGCACTCGAAATGATCCCCATGATTCCCTGAATATCCCCCCCTACCCACAAAACCAATGAAGAAATCCAAAAGAGAAAAATACAAGGAATACAATAAAAGAGGAAGATAAAGAGACGGAAAGAAAAAAAAACTGAATGAACAACAACAGCAACTGAATGAAGAACTCAACCAAAAATAAAACTCCATACAAAAATTTCAATGAAAACTAAAGACGAGTAGTTTTTTCTTATAATAAATACATAAGTGGGTTCGGATTATTGGGGATTTACAGATATTTTAATGCGCCCAAACGACACGACAGGTTGCAGCATCAAACATGTTCGATGGTGTCGGGGCTCGCTTCGCTTTGCTTAACGATCGAACTGCGACTTGTTCCTGCGGGCTTGAGGACCTTTGCGCCGCTCAGCTGCGCTCAAACGAAAATGATGAATGCCGCATCAGACATGTTCGATCGTGTCAGGGTTCGCCACGCGTTGTTTACGATCGAACTGCGACTTGTTTGTTGCGGGCTTGAGGACCTTAAACGAAGCTGAAAAATCTATGGGACTGGCCCTGCCTATTGATTTTGACAGTCTACTGCTGCCTCATTCCCTAGCAGTGCAGTAAGAAAAGGAGAATATTTCATATACATATACAGTGCACTCGCTGGAAGTATGTACATACATAGATGCAGTCTCTCTCTGCCCCATTAGCGACAAGGCTGTCCATTTACTGCTGCTGCAATTTTGCAACAATTTTAATGCACACACAGACAGAAACACAAATCTAGACACAAAACATAGATAGATACACAGAGACAGAGACAGAGCCAGAGACATTGACAATGCAATGGCCCCCGGGGCTCTCTACTCTGCGCTGCCCAAGAAGGCAAGTAGCCTTTTCAAATTGTGCACTCAAATGGACACACACAGCCCCTCCCCGAGAGTGGAGGACAAGTGACGACAGCACTGTATGAGTTATTTGGTATGTATGTGTGTGTGTGTTTCCTTTTTTTCTTTTTTTTTTTTCTTTTTTTTCTTTCTTTTTTTTTGGCAAACGTTTGCATGTGCAGCGAAGCGTAGATCTAAGAGAAATAAGAAGGCAGCAGCACAACAGACAGGCAGCAGCGACATTACATGGATTTGTGGCTTGGCAATGGCAATGGTCATGTTTGACAAGGACTGACTCTCTCTCCCCTCTCTTCCTTCCTAGTTTTCTGGCTCCTACAAAGTATTTGCGTTACTTTGTTTCGCTGGCTGTAAAATTAAAAAGGCACACATACGGACCAGACCAGACCAGACACACACAAACAGGACACAGGAAAAGGAAATCAGTAGAAGAAGAAAAAGAAAAAGGACGAGAAAAGTAAGCGAGACAGGCAGCAAATGAAGCTGCGACGCGACCCCTTGGCCTGCCCTGCCATGCCCTGGCAGCCATTGCAGCGCGCACCAAAAATATAACGAGGCGCCCCGGACGGACTCCGTTTTTGGACCACTGGCTGGTGGGCCTGGCTCATATGTCACTTTGTAGTCGTGACAGAACGATGGGGGTGGGGTGGGGTTTTGGACTCTCCTTCCGGCGTAATTTATGTGGCCGCCCATCTGTCCTGTCTCTGTCTCTGTCTCTGTGCTGTCTGTTCTGTCTCCGCTCGTTTTACTGACAGATTTGCCAAAATTAAAAATTGTGAAAATCTACGCTCAATTAAACATCTTTCTCGGCGTCTGCTTTGTGGGGCCAGGGGTGGGTGTGGGTGGTGGCTGGTGGTTGGAGTAACTTTAATGACTGTTTCTGTTCTTATTTTTCCCAGTGGCTTAACTGTAATACATATTTCGTGCTATATAGAAATCTCTCTCTATCATAAAGCTTCATCATCGATTCATTCTCATCTCATCTCAGGTTGGTGCTGGCAGGACTCAATCAAACTTTTCTTCTTTTTTCTTTTTGTACTCACTGCCACTGCCATTGACTGGCACTTGAACAAACCCTTCGGAACGGAATTGAACTGAACTGAACCCTTCTCAACGCTGCTTTTGCTCTCGCTCTCTCTTTAGCCAATGCTTTTGTTGTGCCCCATCATCCATTGTTATCTGCTGGCCATTTGTTATGCAGCAGCGGGAAGGTAGAGCCACGCTACGCTGTTCGTTCGATCCAACCAGGTCAACCAGGAGAACACTCTCCACAATCTGCAGTTCTCAAGAGAGACAGAGCGAGAGAGGGTGAGGGTGAGGGTGAGGGAGAGCGAGGAGTGGGACAGGGAGAGTTTGGACGACACATTCATCAGCATCGAGGCGCATAATGCAGGCATATTTATAACATTTGACAGAGCATTCACAAAGCAAACGCATCGAGGCTTGAAGCTTAATCGGCACTGACTCTGACTGACAGACAGACAGACTCTCTCTCTCTCTCTGTGTCTCTCCTTCGCTCTCTCTGTCTGTCTCTCTGGAACACTATTTATAATTATTGCTCTGGGGACGCTGATATGTTCCCTTTAACAATCTCTCTTTGCCATGTGAGCAGCAGCAGTGAGTGGGAGAGTGGGAGAGTGGTGCCGGGAGTGCTGGCAAGCAAAACAATCTCATTACCATTATTTTTTAGATGCTTCAAACTTTCAATCAATTTCCCTAGCAATATCCGCTCGGGAAACGTCGAAGGAGCAGCAACTCCCGGTGGCAAGTCTCCCAGTGCTCAGTGCTCAGTCTCAAGCAGCACTCCCCCCATGCTTCTTTCATGGCCTTTTTTTTTGTGTTGTGCTGCTGCTGCTGCTGCTGTTACCCATCGCCTGCCTGATGGGGACGCCCAAGTGACAGCATTGTTTTGCGCCATGACGCAGCTGATACTACACGAATTGCTTGCTTTGAAGTAAACAAGCAATTTTGCAAAAGAAAGGCAGCCAGCAAGCAACCCTGTCGGGAGATACCCCTCCCATCCCTGCCCCCTCCAAGACATGGTTCTCAACCCATCCACACACACACATACACGTACTCGTACTCGTATGCATAAGTTGGAGCCTCTGCTGCTCAGCCTCTTTGCTGTCAGCTGTCAATGCACTCGACGCGTCTGCTCTTGTTCGCAGCAGCAGCAGCAGCAGCAGTGCAGTGCATTCTCTCTGTCCTGTCCCCCCCACCATCTACAGCCGTTTCCACTTCCTTCCCAATGCTGCATTTTTTATGCTGCATTGCACTTTGACTTCCTTGGGCTTTTGTTTGCTCGCTGGCTCGCTTGCTCGCTCGATACTCTTCGTTGTCGTTGTCGTTGCCTGCCTTATCAGTCGAG